GGCGGCAACCCCCCCCTTCCTGCTGCAGGGTTTTCTCGGGGGGGGGGGAGTCTCTCCCCCCAAATCTCTCTGACCCGGGCTCATCCAGGATGATGAATAATCCCCTGCTAAAAAGCTACACGACGTTTCCACCGGATTTCGAGAACTAAAAATACATGTGGCGGCTGAACACAGTCTCGAGCACAAGACAAATTTCTCTCTCTCTGTCCGTCCGTAAACAAGCCCGGGCTCCCAGATCCAGAGATACGGGGCTTTCAATTTTCTGAACAAATTGCAATTAGGCCAGGGGCAACACGGGACAATCCCAAAGACTCTTTGAACCCTCTGGGCAATATTTTACTGATACTGCTTTCCAAACTAATTGGCTTTTTTCTTTTCATTACCCTCTCGGAGTTTTTCTTAAAGCCGGCTGCCGACATGAATAATGACAGGAGGCACACAGCGGCACGTATGACGGCAACCGCGGCAAAGAACGGCTTTCTCCCGGCCAAGTTTTGACCTCTCTCACAGGCTTTAGGACAAAGGCATTTGAACCGACTGGTCCCGGTTTATACGCTTATCTGTTGTTTTCAAATATACAATTTCTATATCTTCTTACATATAATATAAGAACAAATACAGCGAATAGACAGAATAAACGTCAAGCATTACAAGCGGTTCTGTGCAGAACCAAACCTACTAATTTAGTGAAGCGCGAGTTTGGACACAGACCTGACTATTGCTGCGCCGTCTCTTTGATATCGATATCTATGTCTGCTCCTGTTATTCTCCTCTATTAACACATTTTGTGACAAGTTTTTGCCGACAAATCCTCCCGAGAACCAATGTGTGCAGATACGCGGCTGGGCTCAGCCCCGTGCAAATATTATATATCATTGCACAATAACACAGGTTTGCACAGAAATTAGCAGTATTCCAGAAAAAGGGGGGGAGGCACACGTGGAAAATTAAAATCTCTGCAGTTACATTGGACCGGAGAACAAAACCAAAAGGAGACAGACGTCCCCGACTCAGGGAATAAATCAGCCTCTCTCCCTGACAGCCTCAGCGAGAAACTTTTCCTATCAACGGATTATTCCATAATTGTCCATTATGGGCAGTTTAGCACCTTCCCTGCAGCACTGAGCAGCGGTCGCCGGTCGAGAGGAGAGGGAATATCGCTCTGATACAGTCTGCATATTTACTTGTGAGCATTTTATCTCTCTGCTGCATATTTTTTTCACCCACACTGAATCCTGCATTCTTGCCTTATTTCTTAACACTGGAAGGCGAATCGCCTTGCAACAATCTTCTCTAAAACTGGCAAGCCGAAATCAAAATAAATCTCTATTGCCTTTTCGCGCACAGCCAATTTGGGGGGACGTTTCTTTGTATCGGCCTGGACGGCAAAAAAATGATCAAAACGTTTGCAGAAAGGAATACCGTTCCGTTCCCGCCGTGCCCCGTGAAACGGGTGAACGCTTCAGCGTCTGCAGGCAGCGGGCTTTCAGCAACGCAGACTGTCATTAGCACGGCATTCGTTATCAGAATAATGGGCACGGCATCGATAATAATCCGCGGACTGGGATTGCATTTGCCAGGGATTTTGGGGAGGGGAAAAACGTCTTTGCAAATATTTTTACCACCCCCCCCAGACTCCAGCAGTTGATTAAAAAGATAAGGCTCATAAAAGCCCACCTTGTACCAGAAACATTATTCTGTCCTTCCTATTAAAAAAGATGAGTGTTAATCCCTGCGCTGATAAACAGGGCTGCAGGCTCCTCGCACTCCCCAGGCAGTTCCCGGGCACAAAATGCACACGCCGTCCCCGTCTCCGCTAGCCAAGAAAGCCACAACGCTCCTCTCCCCAGGGCTCCTCCGAAGCCCCGCAGCCTCTCGCTTCGCCCCGCCGTCCTGGCAGCCCGAGCCCCTTCGCCGCCCCGGTTTCCCCCCAGCTCCCAGCAGAAAAGCAGCGTGCGCCGCACGCCTTTTGGCAGCGTGGCCCCTGCCCTGCGGCTGTGCCAGCCACGACACTCGCCGGGGGCCAGGGGCGCGCTTAAGGAAAGGGAGCAAGCCTGGCTGGGGCGGGCAGGCGGGCGGGGGGCCAGGCTTACCTGGGTCTCGGAGAGGCTCAGGCTGCTGGCCAGCTGCTTGCGCTCGGCGCCCACCACGTAGTGGTTCTTCTCGAAGGCTCGCTCCAGCCGCAGCAGCTGCGACGGGGAGAAGGCCGTCCGGATCCGCTTGGGCTTCCTGGCGAAGGGGCCGTGCAGCAGCAAGCTCTCCTGGGACACCTCGCTCCCTGCGGGGGAAACCCAGAGTCAGGGCCCGCCTGGCTGAGGCCTAC